GAAGGAAGGAAGGAAGGAAGGAAGGAAGGAAGGAAGGAAGGAAAAGGGAGTGAAGGAAGGAACTGGGAGGGAGGGAGGGAAAGAAAGGGAGGGAAGGAGTGCAGTGTCCTGGGGGGGGGGTGTCATGTGCTCCCCTTGTGAGACCTTCTGACAAGCCAAGTCAATGGGAAAGCCAGATTCACTTAACAACTGAGTTACTCACTTAACAACTGCAGTTGTTCACTCACAACCGTTACGAGAAATGTCGTAAAAAACGGGGCAAAACTCAACTTCAACAAGCTTCTTACTTCGCAACATACATTTTAGGCTCGACTGTGGCCGTAACTCGAAGACTACCGGTCACTAGAATCCTGCCCCCCGCAACCCCCCCCCCCCCCCCCAAAAACCCCACCCGCCCCCCCCACGATGTACGTACGATGTGCCACTCACAAAACACCCCAGTTTTGCAGACAGGAAAGGAAATGCATTTTATACCGCATGGTCTTCCTGTGAGCCACGAAGGTTATTCCTTGTTAAAATGCAATTCCATTAAAAATGCGGTAGGTTCTCACCCATCAACTGTTTATTCCTTTTCTTGTCTGCATGTTCTAAACTGAGGTTGACAGTTCAAGTCAGGGAGATGAAGCTTCCGTTGGTTAAAAAACAAAAAACAAAACAAAAAATTGAATTCTTTGCTGTCCTTCCAGATATGCCTCCGTTTAATTGGCACCAGAAGACAAGGAAATAATGAAGCGGATGATGAAATTCCAGCCAACAGAATATTTAATGCGGCTGGAATTTATATATCACAAGGACGGATCTTCTCAAAGAGCTGAGGGTGTTCCTGAAATGTTTAAACCCCGGAGAAACCAACCCTCCTATTTCACTTATTTATTTAGGAGATAGGGAAGAAGATACCATATCCAGAAGCAGAATGCCAGAGTCGGAAGGGATTTTGGAGGTCATCTAGTCCAGGGGTCGCCAACCTTTTGGACCTCAGGGAGCACCAAACTCATCATTTTAAATCCCGTGGACCAGAGACCCTGGGAAAATCCCCCCCAAAAAGTCTGCAGGGAAATCCCCCACCCCGTTTTCCTACCGATCCATCATTCTTTATTTGGGATCTCAGGATACCGTCTCCAGCTCTGTTCTCAGGGAGAGAGAGAGAGCGAGAGAGACTTTTGGCTTCATGCAAGGAAAGCAGCAGAAGCCGCAGAAGTCTTCCTTTCTCTCCCCCAAACTCCGCCAGAAACTAGTCTTTGCCGGCGCAGCCTCTTGGAGCAGGAGGCCTTGCAGGGTCCCAAAGACTCATTTCTGGCGGAGTTTGGAGGAGAGAAAGAAAGACTTTGGTTGCTTTCCTTGCGTGCAGCCATAAGCAGAAGAAGGAAGAAGTGGAAAGGAGCAGCCCGGTGGCCAGGCCAGGCGTGTGGGGTGAGTGGGGCAAGTTCCCCCCCTCCGCCCTTTTCCCCCTCCCCCCACTACCTCGTGTTGTTCGCAATGCAAGCGACGCAAGCCTTGTGTTCCCGCGGGCCATGTGGGTGGCGTAGCTTTGTGTTCCTGCATAGCCTGGATTAATTGCTTTGGGGGAGATATTTCTGTGCGGACCACCATTTTCTCGCAGACCACCAGTGGTCCCTGGCCCCCTGGTTGGCGACCACTGTTCTAGTCCAACCCCAGTGGCTCAAGCAGGAAATTCCTCTACCATTTCAGACAAATAGCTGTCCAAGTCTCTTCTTGAAGACTTTTGTGGGTTGAAACACCCACAATTTCTAGTGGCAAGTTGTTCCAAAAGTTAACTGTTACTTTGATACTGCTAATAGTGACTGGAAGTTGCTATGTGAACAGCTTGCCTTCCAGAGTTGTGAGTGCTCCATCGCTGGAGGTTGTCAAGAAGAGATTGCACCACCATTTGTCCCGGATGGTATAAGGTCTCTCCTGCATTGGGCAGGGGGGCGGGGTTAGACTAGAGGATCTCCAAGGTCCCTTCCAGCCCTAGAATTCTATGATTTTCAAAGGTGGACATGGCACAACCTCACCGGCGTATTCTCCTGCACTTAAAATAAAGCTGGCAGATCTGCTGCAGGGACTTAATTGGAAACGAAGCGAAGATTCTCATCTCTATGCAAATGCCGGTGTTAAATAAAGATCAGGGAAGGGAGAGTTACTACTACAGGGAGCAGCTTCTGCTCTCAAGGATAGCTTTTCCTCCTGAAGGCTTAACTCTGACCGTTGAGCCGCCGAGCCAGCCAAAAGGGGGAAAAAAAACACCAGCCTTTGCAAGCAAGCAGAAATTTCAACGATTTCGCTCTCAAAACACTTCAGTCAATCCTAAATCGAGGGCATTTCTAATTTTCTTCTGATCCTCTGGAAAAGGGGCTCCAAACCCCCTTGAAGCAATTCCCCTTGGCAGCTTTCCTGTCGGAAACACAACCCAACCTATTTAGTGACCGCTGGAAATTACAAAGGCACTGAAAAAAAGTGACTTTAGGACCGTTTTCCCGCTTGCAGCATATCACATAATCAAAATTTCTAGCTTTGAGTCGGTCAGGATCGAACTACTTCTGGAAGTGGCATGCAGAGTCAGCCTGCAATACTGGGCTCTAATCACCGAACCACCAGGGCGCTGTAGAGTCAGAGGAGGAACAGCCAACAGGGAGTGGAAGTGTGGCTCCGGAGGTTGGGGAGGAAGCTGGGGAAGGGCAGAGGCCGGCTGGGCAGTCAGGGGAGGACCCAGGCCCATCCCCTCTTCATCCTAGGGCACGTAGGGAGGAGACGATAAGGGAGAAACATGAATGGCGTGTCTATGGGGGAGGAAGGGGCCCTGATCCTCTTCCTGCGCTGCAGCAGTGACAACTGGATAAGAGGACGGACATGCGTACAGACAAGCGCTGGAAACAAAGCGTGGAAATCTCTCTAGTTTATGGTTCCTCTCTGAGTTTGGCGTCCTTCCCAATGTATATTCTGTTATCTGTGGATGTCCTCCAGCCCTTATCTTGCCTGGTTTGTGTTGCTTTTTTCCTCCTTCTTGTAACTGTTTGTGTGGGAGACTTTTGTCTTCAGTCAAGGATCTTTGGAGTTTGGAAGCAGAGCGAAGGAATAAAAGGGGCTTCACCTGTTTTTGATGACAGTGTTTATTTTGTATCCCACCCTGGGTCATCACAGTTCCTTTATATAACATTAGTCCTTTTTGTATCCCCATATTTCTAACTTCTGTTTTTATTATCTAAGTGGTTAGATAATAATAAACAGATATAATATAATTTTTAACAGTTTGATTTAACCCAAATTTCTCCAACTTGTTGTCCTTCCAGAATATGGGGAATTCTGGGAATTGTAGTCCCAACAAACCCGGAAGATACACAGATGTGTAATGAAAAGCCAGTTTCTGAATTTGCCTTTTGATAGCTGACAAAAAGTTTATGGATATTTTCAATCATCTAATCCTGGTTGTCCCAAAGGTGCTTCTTCCCCCACCCCCAAAAGCGATTGATCTTTCTTGTTTTTCTTCCTTTGAAAACGTTTCGCTTCTCACCCAAGTAGCTTCTTCAATTCTACAGAACTGAAGAAGCTTCTCTGATGAGAAGCAAAACGTTTTCAAAGGAAAAAAAAACAAAGAAAGTCCAGTCGCCTTTTGGGGAAAAAAAGCACCTTTGGGGACATATATATGGAGATTCTCAATCATCTAATCACGTTGTCCCAAAGATGCTTTATATATATATATATATATTTTGACAAGGAATTGGGCATCAACTGTCCAAATGAAATCAGGGATGCTGGCACATAGTTTTATATAAATAAATATATTTTTACACATATATCTATGTTTACAGCAAACAAGATAGTCAGGCAAACAAGAGCATCATGAGGTAAAATCCACACAGGGACATCATCATGAGGTAAATAGCAGAGCATGGCAGAAGAAAAGGGCGGGAAACAAGGAAACGCCCCTTTTAGCCCACAGCGACCAATCGCAGCGCAGGTTGCCTCACACAGGAGCCAGCTCTCTCTGATCAATCGGCTATAACTGTGTGTTCTGACTCATTGTGCGGCTAGTCCTCAACGTACGACAATTGAGCCCAACATTTCTGCAGTTGTGTGAGACATTTAAGTGAAGTTTTCCCATTTTACAACCTTTTTGCTGCAGGTGTTAAGTGAATCACAGCAGCTGATAAAATTAATAGCCAGATTGTTAAGTGAAATCTGGCTTCTCTGTTGGTCTCAAAAGGGGATCGGGTGACCCTGCAACAGTCATAAATGTGAACCAGTTGCCAATCACATGACCATGGGGATGCTAGAAAGGTCGTAACTGTGAAAAACGGTCCTAAGTCTGTTTTTTTCAGTGCCAATATAACTTTGAATGGTCACTAAATGAACTGTTATCAGTCGAGGACTGTGTCATGCCCCTGTCAGAGTCTGAATCTGAGGAGGAAGTTGAACAGCTGACAGGGAGCGGGAGTGTGGCTCCGTTGGCTGTGGAGGAAACTAGGGAAGGGCAAAATCTGGCTGGGCAGAGCAGGAAAGAAGTAGAGCAAGGGAGAGGGAGTTCAGAGGAAGACCCAGGCCCACCCCCTCTTCATCCTAGGACACACAGGGAGGAACGGAAAAGAGAGCAACGTGGGTTGCATGGCTTACAGGGGAGGAAAGGGCCCTGATTCCCTTCATTAGCCACAGCTAGGAAGAGAGTTTAAAAGAGATGCAAGCTGAGTGCAGTATCTTCTGGGAGCAAATGTGAGTTTATCTTGTGTTGACTTTGCGTATCTGCGTTCCTGGCATCCTCCCAACTAGGTTGAATCACTGCTGTCCCTGCACATCTGGAATTCCTTCTCTTGCTCTGCCAGACTAATTACCTCATTTTGCCTTGATCCGACTTATAGCTAGTTTTTATTGACCACATTTTGGACTTGATTCTCTGCAGCCAAAGGCTGATTCTGGGAGAGTTTTTCTCCAGCCCAGAAGGTAACCAGGACTTTGTGGGCGAGGTTGGAGCTAATAAACGGACTCCTCCTGAATATCTGGCTGTGTGGCCTTTGTGCTACGCCCCTTTGGGTCATCACAAGACTTCCTGTACACTTCACTGTTCCAGCTACTACATTTAAACAGCTTATCACTTTTTGATAGCTCTTACCTTAAGAGGTCGAAACTTGTCAAACAACACGATGGTTACCAACACAGTCCCCCCATTTGGAGAATCAACCCATGGGCTCCAAGAGCTAAAAAAAATAAGACTTACTGTTGCTTGCGGGTCAACTCCTGCTCCTTCAGGACAAGGTCTTGCTTGAGGGATGCCAACATCTCCACGCTGACATCCACCTGGCGGGACAGCTCTACTGCCCGGTCCTCCAATTCTTGTTTCTCACGGCTGAGTTTGAGGCTCTCTTGCTTGGCTTTCTCCAGTTCGGTGGTCTTGCGGTCTAACTCCACCTGGAGGCGTCCCACTTGGGAGGCGATCTTCTGCTCCACTTCTTCGGTGAACTTCTCCAAACGTTTGTCTACTTCCAGCTTCTCAAAAGCCCGGATCTTCAAACGGGTCAAACCTTCTTCATAAGCTGCATCCACTGCGGTGACGGTCGCCGCGGCGGAGGAGGCGGCGGTGGCCGCTGGAGGTGTAGCGGAAGAAGTCATGGCTTTGCGGGTGAAGATCTCCGTCAGCGGGATCTCGATCTCGTGGAAGTAGCGGGACGACGCGGTAGACGACGAGGACTCCAGCTCATCGGCTGCTAGGAGGTCGCAAGTGAGGTGCTGCTCTCTGCCCTGGAAGGAGGTGCTTTCAAAGATGTCACGGCGGGTGGCTGGGCTCAAGAGGGTGGCATCGGTCAGCAAAGGGAAGATGGTGGCATCGCAGATGCTGTTCGTCTTAGACAAGACGTAGAGAGTTTCATAGGTGTGATTGTACTCCAAGTGAGCCCTTAGAGAGGACAGGCTCCGGAAACGCTTGTGTTCCCCGCAGCGCGGACAGCGATAAGGCAGGTCCAGAGAGGCCATCCTTCAACCCAAGCCACACAACCTCTCGCGCAGCCCTCCTCCGCCGGGAACCAGCTGCCGGGACCCTGTCATGGTGTAGGTCGGTTGGCCAACCGAGACGCAGGACTCGGGCAGCAGGAAGGGTGGAAGCTTTGTGGTGGGACAGACAAAGGCCAGTCCCACAAAGTCATCGCTGGCTATGGGAGAGGAGAGGTAGGCTTGGAGGTGGCACACCCTGGCAGCCAAGGCAGAGAGACAGCCGGGGGCTGGACTGGCATCAGGAACCTGCAAAGAAAGAAGATGGTCAGCATTTTCCCCTTTCCTCCTATGTCCTCTGAGACACCCTTTCCCCATCCGTGGTCTGCTGCAGATTTAAGGAAGCGGCTGAGAAGCAGCCCCAAACAGCTCAGAACAAAAAAATAACAGAGTTGGAAGGGACCCAGGAGGTCATCTAGTCCATTGGTTGCCAACCAATGGGCCGGGGAACCACTGGTGGTCCGCGAGAAAATTTGGGTGGTCTGCAGAGAAATGTCACCTCCAAAGCAATTAATGTGGAGTGTGAAGGATGTGTGTTTGTGTTTATTTTCATGGTCATGATGTGCATGATGTGTTTGATTTGATTGTGCGAGGTGCAATGACAATAAAGTAAACTAACTAATCCAGACTGTGCGGGAACACAAGGCTGCGCCGCCCACATGGCCCGCGGGAACACAAGGCTTGTGTCGCGTGCATTGCAAACAACGAGGTAATGAGGGGAGGGGGGAAAGGGCGGAGGGGGGGAACTTGCCCCATTCGTCCTACGTGCCTCACCTGGCCATGCAAGGAAAGCAGCAGAAGTCTTTCTTTCTCTCCTCCAAACTCCGCCAGAAATGAGTCTTTGGGATCCTGCAAGGCCTGCTCCAAGAGGCTGCGCCAGCACAAGAAGTCTCGCAAAGACTCATTTCTGGCGGAATTTGGGGGAGAGAAAGAAAGACTTTTGCTGCTCCTGCTGCTTTCCTTGCATGAAGCCAAAAGTCTCTCCCTTTCTCTCTGTCTCTCTCTCTCTCCCCCCCACCCCCCGAGAACGGAACTGGAGATGGTATCCTGCAATCCCAAATAAAGAACGATCGATCAGTAGGAAAACGGGGTGGGGATGAGAAGTGAAACGTCTTCAAAGGAAAAACCTAAAAAGTCCAGTTGCCTCTTGAAAAAAACACCTCTGGGACAACTGAGGACGCAGACAAACCCCCAAGTGGCCTCAATGTCTCTCTAAAAAGATGCAAATGACCAGCTGTCTGCAAGGAGTAGAAATCTTTCCATTCCCCTCCCTCCAGTCAGAACTGAAGAAGCTTCTTGGATGAGAAGGGAAACGTCTTCAAAGAAAAACCAGAAAGAACAGTCCTTCTTTTCACTAGATCAGACCTACCCAATTCCAGTTCTTCATACAGTATGTTGTACTCTCCAGTCCCATAATCAGCTCTTCTCTTTAGAGCAAGGGCCTTCCAACTTGGCAAGTTTAAGACTTACGGACTTCAACTCCCAGAATTCCTGAGTTAACATGACTGGAGGAGGAATTCTGGGAGTTGAAGCCCACAAGTCTTAAAGCTGTCAAGTTTGAAGACCCCTGAATTCTATTATCTGTCTGTCTGCCTGTCTATTGTCTCCCCATCCATATCTATCTACCCATCCATCCATCCATCATATCACAAGGGCCTTCAAACTTGGCAAGTTTAAGACTTACGGACTTCAACTCCTCAAATTCCTGAGCTAACATGACTGGAGGAGGAATTCTGGGAGTTAAAGCCCACAAGTCTTAAAGCTGTCAAGTTTGAAGACCCCTGAATTCTATTATCTGTCTGTCTGCCTGTCTATTGTCTCCCCATCCATATCTATCTACCCATCCATCCATCCATCATATCACAAGGGTCTTCAAACTTGGCAAGTTTAAGACTTGTGGACTTCAACTCCCTGAATTCCTGAGCTAACATGACTGGAGCAGGAATTCTGGGAGTTGAAG